AGTTGTTAGCAGTTCCATCCAAAGAGACATTTCCCCTCTAAACTTGTCATTTAAAGAACTTAAAAGAGCTAAAATGATCTAATATTTTCCAAAAGAGTAAAAGATTAGAGAAACGTCCAAAAATGACATGAAAACATGTATATCAGAACTTTGCTTTTTCTTCTTTCCTGCCCCATTAATCATCTCCTCAGAGGACTCCTCCCCTGGGTTGGGAACCACTGGACTAAACTACCAAAGTTCTACCTTAACCAGCTACAGTAAAATGCTACTTACACATTGACATATCGGTATTTACAATATAATAATGTCAAATATTAGTAATAATTAGTCACAGGGGACTTTTTTTGCAGAAGGAGAACTTTTGATACTTTATTAGGTGCATTAAGTAGAGTTTTGAATGTATGACTTTTACTTGTAATGGAGTATATTTACATTGTTGTATTGGTACTTTTACTGAAGTAGGAGATCTGAATACTGCTGCTGCCACTGACAGTGGCTATAATGATGATGACAATGATGATGATGATGATGATGATGATGAAAGCGATGATGATTTTTCTGTGGAAACTGTTTGTGATTTTGAAAATTAAAGCCACAAAACGTACCAATTGCCAACTGTGCACCTGGCAGTGAAAACAATTGAAAGCACCACCATTAATCTAATGTTAGCTGGCGTTTACCCTATTAGTTACCTAATTTATTGGAAACTTGGGACTGGAAGACTAAATGACCTGCAGTGAGACAATGACAGAGGCCTTTAAGGAAGAGAGATGTGGTGGTTTTGGACATGTATTACCTGTATTCATACAGGAGGGGTCGCTAGATATTAAGCCTCAGCTGAACTGGCATACAGAGGATCCCATTATCTGACCTATATCGCCCTCTAGTGTTCACCTGCACTCAACCAACATGTAATTCTGCTGCTTCCCTGACTTTGCCTGTGTGTTAAATACAAACAAATAGACAAAAGGCTTTTTTTCATACTGGTGCCAACGACTTGTTCCTCAGGCATATAAACAGTCTGCAGGTGAGACCCAGTGACACACATTTAAATCTAAATGGGCTCGTCCACAGGAAGAACCCAAACACTAAACACTGGTGGATCGACATGATTGTAGACCATACAAATTAAACTAAATATAAATAATATATGTATAAAATTACAAAATAAAATAAAAACTATATGACTGGTGGAGGATAGGATAGGATACAGCTGCTTAATGTAGACTCATGTCCAGGAGCCGCTGAAGAGGTGTTGATTTTTACAGCCACTCTTCCATCACTGACTACTGCTGACCTTTTTATGCTGTAAAATGATCCACTGTTGCCACACAAACTGGTCAATGTCTGCCTGGGGGTAACATGTTTACAGCCTCGATGTGTGTAATTATCATTTTGATACAGAAAATAGGAAGTACTGTAGTGTAATTTACAGTCACAATATCACATAAGGCTAAATATATCTAGCTAAAGGCTTATGCTGACCTACAAACCCTAAAATGCAGTAACTACTCAGTTATTTAAAGCATAATTAAGACCAAAATCTGATTTAGCTCCTGTTGAAGAGATAATAGTTATAAATGTTAGCTTAGCATCGGAGCAGTAACAGCGGACTAACTGCCAGATCATTTTCTGACTCAATGTGGTGTAGTGAAGCTACTTTTAAATCACTTATCTAAACATATTAAGGTGTTCTGAATCTATTGTATCAATTTCAAGGTAATTCTTATTAATAGTGTAAGTAAAAAAAAGTAGATGAGAAGCTGATACTGTGATTTGCCTTTGATTATTTTTCCAAAGGTTTACATGAATGATCTTTTGTTGTAAAATAGTAGAAACAGACACAGTTGAAAACTTTAAACCCTTTTTTTATTCGAACCCTTTCTGGAGTTACTGCTTTCTGCCTCATAGACTTCAATGGTAGGTGGTGATTTGTTTCCATCTCCTAAGATACTATTGTGACAGAAATAGATAGAATAGATTTGTGTGTGTATGTATGCGTGTGTGTTGGGTTGGGCTGGGCTGGGCTGGGGAAAAGGAACAATATGCAGTGTTGGCTGCCAAATATGCAAATATATCCCTTATAGGCAAACAGGTATGTAAGAGATGAGGTCAGTGTCAGTAGGTAGAATATAATGTATAATAATGTCCGGCCAGGTGTCCATTATCAGGAATTAATAGATGACTGATAATGGACACCTAGCTGGGCTTTATTATACATTATATTCTACCTACTGA